TGATGCGCACATCACACTTTACCCCAAAACAGTGACAAAATTCAAGATTAGAATATATAAAACTTCTATAAAATTCAAAGCTTGCGGTTTGTCACTTTCCCCTAAATGGATCAACTATTTCACGTCACCTTTTACTTTAGTTTCTCATCAAATCTTGACCAGCCAATTGTGTCAGCACAATATAGTAGTGGTTTGCGTGCGGAAATATGGTGCGGTAGCACTTCAGGGCGTCCCAAATTCAAATCCTGGATTTCCCGACCCTACTCGAGCTTCACTTCCTGTCTCATTACTGTCTAATAAAGAATAAATAAAGAAGATAAATCTTAAAAAAAAAAAAAAAAAAAATCTTGTCCAATCAAATGCTCTCTAGTATATATGACATGCCCCACCCCCTTCAAGATGATTATCTTTGGCTGTTTCTCAATTCCAAGAATGCTGAGAACGGACTTGTGTTCTTGTGAAGACCGTTCTTGCCAGGTCCCCTCGGAAGAACGAACTAGGGAGACTGCAAGAACACAGAAAGCGTCCTGTGAGGAATGAGATGCCAGGTTTTTCCTGATGGTCTCATGACTTTCACGTGTTTTTAACTGAAAATTATTTAAACATTTTTGGGACTTCTAGAGCGAGTTCAGTGTTAAAGTCTGGATCTGTGGGTTGTTGCTACACTGGATATGGTTGCGGCCGGAAGTTAATGAAAATTATTTATATTATTTATTAAATTTCCCATTTATTGTATTTTATTAACATCTACCTCCACCCTAACCCTAATCCCAGTCATCACAGTAACATAAAAACAGTAGTTGTACCGAGTATTATTTCTGCTATCTATTATATTACCCAATAAATTGTATTTTTTAACGCCTACCCCCATCCCAACCCTAAACTCAACTGTCACAGTACTGTAAAATTATTAATTATTGTTATACAGTGTCATAAAAAAAATGCTGCTACATTGATGTGCATATCATACTCCGGCCGGCCGCATATCCGATCTAGACTTTACCGCAACTGTGCGTCCTTGATTCCAAGAACACATTTGTGAACTTTCACGCATCCTCCGTTCTTGCGGTCTTAAGTTTTGTAACTGAACTTTGGCAGTTACATGTTACACGAGACTACGAGGATGCAAGATTGCTGAAGAAAGCATATTGAGAAACAGTCTTTTACTTTTCATTTAATGTGCTTAAGCTTAACCAATCTCACTGGCAGAGCTGTGATAAAAATGAATCGCTATTAGCTGTTTTTTTTTAAAGGAGAGGAGCTACTCTACGTCCCACCCTCTCTTCCTTTTTTTAATTGAGATGATTTCATACATAAAAACAAAAAAAAAATCATGAGACCTTTAAGAATTCAGTGGCAAAAAATATGAAAAAATTTGAGTACAAATAGAATTTGTATCAAACAGATTATAATAAATCTGTATTTGCATTCCAAACATCGATTTCTTATGGGTTTGAAATGAAACGAGAGTTTGAATTTTAATTAGAATTTATTTACCAGGGACAATGCTTATAAATAAAGAGTAAAACTGTAAATAAGCCAGAGTTAACCTCAAGGGCTAATTTTCATCAGTTGCCCCTGCCAGATTTTAAAAGGCAACCTAAAATCAAACAACACAAGTAAGTTAATAATGACGAATTTGTCATTTCTGAGTGATTTCGCTTTTTGAAGTGATGGCTCACTCGTAAATAGTAATAACTTTGTTACTTAGTTGTGACCCTCCAAACCCAAAAGACGTTTGTTCATGTTCAAAACACAACTGAAAATATTTTATTAATCATATCCAAAATATTTCTGTCCTTTTTTAAAAGTCTGAGGTGAAGAAAACACCTGCTCCTATTTTCCTCTGCTCCGCTCTCTCTAGCTTTGTTCTCTGGTATGCTGCCATTTAATTAAAGCTCAGGTCTTTTAGACTGGAAAAATGAAAGCCTGTCCGGGACTCTGTGAGGTGTGGAGGAATGTGAACGAGCTTTACTAGGAAATCTCACAGTGTACTATCCTGTCACTATTACAGATGTCTGTTGTGACAACCTGTACTGCACTGACTGAACATGTTTAACCTATGCAACTCTTAAGATACAAAAGTACAAATATATGCATTAAAATAACTGAAAGACTCAACCACAGAACTGAAGAGAAGAAGCAGAAGTGTTTTCACTTTAATAAAGTACAAATAGATGTCACAGGAGAAAGATATTATACGACAATGCTGATACCAGAGTATAGTTATGGTATCTACCAGCAGGGGCCAACAGGTCATGGAAATGATCCTGTCTTGGTTAAAGCACCTGTTTAGTAAATAGGAAACCCTGTGTTTGAATCTCAGCAGTGCCTCTTTGCCAACTCCGCAGGTGGTTCTTGTACTGAAACCCATCTGAGACTGTTTTGACGGCTGAAGTTTTGTACCTTTGTTGCGGTTGAAGACTAAAATGGGCTGCACCCTACAATGGGGCCTCAAAACAACACCTTTTGTGGTGCAATGGACAGTGCATTGGGCGTCTAGGCTTGAAACGGAGGCATTCAAAAGTTGTGGGTTCGAGTCCCACCAGAGTTGGAATTTGTGGGCTTTTTCTACCATGTCCTTGCAAAACAACACGTGGCTCTTTAAAGAATTTCAGGAGCCTGTCCAACGCATTATGCTTTGTCGTTCTGTTTGATGCTGCGACTCAGCTATTACAGCTACAGTAAGTGCTGGGATTGGATGTAATGTAAAGGTTCCAAAAAACACATGATTAAGGGTAGATTAATCCCTCACTGTCTTAGAGACTGTTGTTGGAAGCATTGTATCCAGATTTTTTTTCTTGAAAGGTGGCGTTTTATGGCTCCGTGGTGCAACGGACAGCTCATTGGATGTCTAGGTGGCTACTGGATCATTTCACAGGGGATAGTCGGCCTATTTTTAGACTTTTCATCCTAACCATCAGAGCACCTTGAATATGGCGCTAATATCTTTAGAATGTAAATGTTTATGGAGATATACATTCAATACTCACTGTGTGAGTATTAAAACTTACACAGTGCATATACTCACTGTTTACAAGTTTATACACAGTTGAAGTCAGAAATATTAGCCCCCCTAAATTATTGGCTCTCCTGTTTATTTTCCCCCCAGTTTCTGTTTAACGGAGAGAAGGTTTTTTTACACACTTTTCTAAACAATAGTTTTAATTACTTATTTCTAATAACTGATTTATTTTATCTTTGCCAGGATGACAGTAAATAATATTTTACTAGATATTTTTCAAGACACTTCTAAACAGCTTTAAGTGACATTTAAAGGTTTAACTAGGTTAATTAGGTTAACTAAGGCAGGTTAGGGTAATAAGGCAAGTTATTGTGTAGCTGAAAGGGGCTAATAATTTTGACCTTAAAATGATCTTTTAAAACTAAAATTTTATTCTAGCTGAAATAAAACAAACAAGACTTTCTATAGAAGAAAAAACATTATTAAAAATTCCTTGCTCTGTTAAACATTGTTTGGGAAATATTTAAACAAAATAAATAAATAAATAAATAAATATATTTATTTATTTATATTTATTAATAATATACATGATTTATTTTATTTATAAACTATAAGCAGTGAGTTTGTATGCAAAAGTTCGACATATGTAGTACATTTTCGTGCACAGACCAAATATTTTGCTTCATATTACCTCAGTAATACCCTATTGTCAGGAACCATTGGCAATAACTTTGCTTTGACAATGTTTTTATTTGTTTATTAATTAAATGTTATTTACTTAATTAACAGTCCAAAATTGCTAGGATGTTTCAGTCCAAATTTGATTAAATTATACTGCTGGGTTGAATTTTAACCCAAAGTTAGTTTGTCTTTTTCCAAATTTGGGATGAAACAGCTGAGCATTTGTGTGAAATTATAACTGTCGACATCAGTGTTGGATGTAATGCATTACAGGTAATGCGAGTTACGTACTAATATTACTTTTCTAATTAACAGTAACGTATTTCATTAATTTACAATATTAAGCAATAATATTTAAGTTACTTTTTAAAAATGTAACTCAAGTTTTTAGATTAATTAATTCACTTTTAACAAATTATTTGCTGAATTAAAATTTGTGTAATTACGTTGAATCACACTCAATGTGAAAATGAGCTCTTTAAGGAAAGAGATCAAGATGGCAGAGCCTTACATTTCTGTGATGGAAGTACTGTCAATATTTTGAACAAATGGGAGAAAAAGAGATAGTCTTAATGGACAGTGATTTTACTGAACTAATAAGACAAAAAGTACAAAAGGAGCAAACGCATTGCTTTCAACTTCGATTAATCTGTATGTATAGACCATTTTGATGGACGTAAACAGTAACAACGGTCATAACCTATTTCCTGTTTTACTTTTTATTTTTATGTCTTCAGAGAATCTAAAAAGATCCACATGCTGATAAATAATGTTTCGGCAGCTGTTTTAACATAAGATATGATTGAATTGCCTCGTGTTACAGTTATGATTTTTTTTAAACAAGCAGGAAAAGTTGTTGCATATTACAGTTACTTACAAAACAGAAAACTAGATAAACTTTGTGTAGAACTGAAAAAAGCCTAGTCAAATATCATTGTTGGTTTTTGTGCTTGCTGTGAATTTAGGTTTGTAAATAAACTATATTTTCTCTCATGACAACAAATGTCTTAAGGCAGAAAAAAAGTATAAGGTAATTTCCACACCTAAAGTAGTGCACAATTGTTAGACTAAAAAGTAATTAGTACCACTTTAACATTGTATCGTTTCTGTGGGAAAAAACATTACTAAAGCCAAAATCTTTGTCCTACAGAATAATTGAAGACAATACGGCCACAAAAGGTGAGTAAATTAAATAATTTTCACCTCAGGTATTTTAACGACAAAACGATGCAGTATAAAGGCGCTGAAACGGGGTCCCTATTAATGACAGATCACCTATTCGTTGGTGCTGAGTATGAGAGACAGGACTGCACAAGCCATTGCACTGCCCTCACTCAACACCAAACACGCACACACACATACGCACACTCAGTGCACTGCCCTCTATGAACTGAGCTCAGCACAGAGGCAGAGAGCGAAAGAGAAGGTGCCCACCGAGCCGCATTTCTACTTACTACTGTGTACTGCACACTGAAAAGAAACTGGAACAACTTTTCTCATATTGAATTTCTCCAGATGTTCGTGAATTTCAGCTCTAAGTGGACATTTTGAGAGGTTTTTAGAGTGTTGAGTGTGCGGCACAGGTGAAGATGGCGAGGGGACCATCAGGACGAGCGTCGCGCACACCGGTGCTCGTGTTTCTGCCTCTTCTACTGCTCACCGGAACTTTAACAGCGCAAGAGTTGCCCGTCAACGGCGTGAACGGATTCAGCTTGCACCCACCGTACTTTAATCTAGCGGAGGGGACGAAAATCACAGCCACAGCAACCTGCGGAGTGGACGAGAACGAGCAGCCTATCCAGGACCTGTACTGCAAACTGGTTGGGGGGCCCGTGTCAGGGGATCCGAGTCAGACTATTCAGGTAAAGACGAGGAAAATATTGCACTTTATAATTATTGACAGGTGCTAGTTAAAGGCTTGTTTCGATTTTAGTTAATTGCAATGTGGTATAGCCTAATATTTAACTTTGTGAAATGCACTTTGTATCGTTTCTCTGCATAAAGATGGTGGCACTATAATACATTATGCTTTCCATGAAGGAGCTACCATGGCGCAGCAAAATTCTCATTTTCCAATTTCTTATACCATATTAGATTTATTATAATAGTAAAGCCTAAAATAGGGTTAGATTTAATTTTATTATTATTTAAAAAAAAATTGTTTTTACTTGCTTTCCTGTGTAATTGCTTTATGCTTGAGGAACTATGCAAAACTATGCTCTTCCAAAGAGCACCTGCTCGAGGTGAAAATGCCAAAGTTCCCCATAAAACCCTATAATGCCTCATAGGAGACCCCTACTAAGACTTCATTAACATGGGGCTCAGGAGGCACGACTCAACTTGTTGGCGAGTGTGTGAAATATTTAACATTGTAAAGAGAAAAACGCAACCCCCGTGTTGCACTGCTACTGGGATTTTCCCTGAGGAATGTGTGGCATTTCGTAGAAGACCTTGAGGGAGACACACACACCCACACACACAGAGATTTGCACCACACTTCAAAGAATAGTTGATGAAAATGTTGCTACCTCATTGATTTTCGCAGACACGTCCTGAAGTCATGTTTTCAAGACTGGACATCAGCTCATCATTATTTATACTCATTAAATAGGTTGCATAATAAGCGTCCTGCAACAAACTATGGAAAAATGTCATGTTTAATGTAATTTTGTATATTCTCAGGTTGATTCAGTCAAATAAAATATAAATTTAAATAATGTACTGCACTATTTAAATAACAAAACATTTACTGCAAGATTGTTTTGATGCACTAATTCCATTTTAAAATATTTATAATAACAATATAATAACAATATAATAATTTATAATAATATTTGTAATTGGTGTTTTGGCAGAAACCGGTAGCCATGGTAAGTGAATTGAATGTTATTTTGAAGGACTAGATGAATAGCTAGTCAAAGGAAATCTTATCAGTTGCTAAAACCTTCATACAAGGGTGGTCTCAACATAATGTTCTGGAGTCTGCTTAGTTTATTTAAGACATTATAAATGAGTCAGTTTTTCTAGCCAAGTGCAAATACCTGGTGCAAAAATAGCATTCTAGCCAAGTGCAAATACCTTTTTCAGCCTACTTTGAATAAACTTATCAGCTTTTTAAGAAAAATGTTCTCTTGTCCTTCAGTCTTTATTATCAGAAATAAGTGGACGAAAGTAAAACAAAACAGAATATCTCCAAGGAAGAATCACATTTGAAAATTGAGATATTTTATGAAATGAATTATGCTAATGAGGTTATGGCGCAAACATGCCCAAAACATTTTCAGTTTGCACATCTCAATTTCTAACTTGGCAGGTCACTTTGCACTTGAAACAACTTGTAAATATGCTTAATGTGTGCCTGACTACAGCTTGCTTGGACACATGCCCAATTATAACTCTTTTCATCATCATGTCACCATCTTTTGATAAACTAGTGCTCCTGTGATTGATATAAAATCAAAAATCATTAAAAACACAAATCACAGCACGCTTGGACTACATTATAACATCTTATTCAAATTAATTCTGTGCAGAAATACATCTCACAACTGTTAACAGTGATCTTTTGTGACCTTAGAGTGGTTCCTTTTTATCTGAACATTTTACTTAATCTGAATAAAAAAAAAGTAGATCACCACCCAAGACTTCCTTTAGCAGAGTTTTATCTAGTAGGGGTCTCAAGACTGGGATTAAAGGAGAAGATATACAGGCCAACTTAGATGTTTTAGAGATAAGTCTTTACCCAAGCCTGATCATGTGACTTATTAAAGTGTTCTGCATTTAAAGGGTCTGATTTATTAAACTTGCCAAATTAGTGAGAGAGAGAGCGTAATCTCATGAAAAGCGCTGATATGAGTAGACATTTCTGCAAAAATATTAATGTCAGTGTGCAAATTCAGCAGCTCATTTTTTATAATATCTAAACATAGAGTAAATCTGATGGTCTCATGGGTCATTTCATTTTTAGATTATCATGGAAGTTTTTAAAGGTCTATTCCAGGCATTGAATGGGAGGGATGTTTTTTTGTTTTACTTTGCATGTGTCAAAAACATTTTTTAAATGCCTATTGTTATGGCAGGACTATTATTCGGTGTAATTTTACTCTTTTTTTTTTTTTTTTTTTTTTACACTTGCCAGCCAGCTAACTACGGCACACATGACAGGAAAATGTACATTTCAAGATTTTTGGCTTACAAAATGACCAGTAGTTGACAAAAAAGATTAAATCTTGTGGAGGCTGAAGCTTTCTGAGTCCTGCTTAACTGTCACTGGGATGGTACGATTTTTAAAGGTTCATTTTTGCTCCTTACAGTCCCTTGAAGGTACATATTAATATCTAAAAAGTACAAATGTGTACCTCACAGTATCTTAAAAGTACAATAGAAAACCATAAAAGGTACAAAAGTGTACCCTAAAGTAGAGCTGTGTGATTAATCTAAATCGAATCGCAATCGTGATTTAAAACGTTGCAATAAGCTAGTCTCAAGAGGCTGCATTATGAAATATATATGTATTATATGTATATAATTTCCCCCACCCAGAGGAAATGTGTGACTGCCATCAGTGTGTGACAGTCTTGCTAGCCAATTGAGTGAGAACACTTTCATTCTGCCCAATTCGAATTGCGCAATCGAACTATGCGGAATGCCCACAATAAAAACAAACAGGAAAGCGCGGACAAGTGGGATGATGGCGTCTGCCGCTTTAGTAGTATTAAAAGACAAATTCATATCAAAGGACAACAGCATGTCCGTAATATGGGAATATTTTGGTTTCAAAGTTACAGACACCGAACAAAAACAGGTTATTTGTAAGAGCTGTTACAGAATTGTGTCACACAACAACCAGCATCTAAAAAAGGACCACAGACACCAGGTGATAACTAATGCCATAACTCACTACTGCTTGCTCTAGAGAAAAATTAATGTTTCATTTCTGAATATTTAAAAAACAAATTTGAATAAACAGTGGAGTAAGTAATATCTTTTCAGTTCCTTTTTTTACTAACACTCACTGCATTTTAGCAGTAAGAAGCTACGATTCAGAATTTTGAGCTGAAGCTTGACTACAAAATTAAAATGCAAATCAAATAAAAAAATTACAATTAGATATTTTGCCCAAATCAAACAGCCTCTAAAGGTACTAATGTCCTCCTCTATGGTACAAAACTGTATCTTTTGAAAAGGCACTACCTCGTGACAAATTTGGTACCTTTATTTCTGATAGTGTGGTTATACAGCTCAAATAGTGGCATGTAGCTATATAGTTAGCTAGCTAGTTACAATTAAAAATGTGTTTTTTAAAGTTTAACCTGTTTACAGGTAGCAAAAGTGGTCACTAATGGAATCGAAAATGTAGCTAATTAGGCTTCAAACATTACTGTTAAATCTGGACAATTTGTAAGAATTCAGTTTATTATAGTTCATAGAAATTAAGCTTATAAGTCTGTGAAAGTCAGGGAAAAGTCTGGGAGTTGGACATTTGGCTCAAAGTCTAAACCCTGGATGATAATAAGGTGCAGATAACAGATTAAAAAGCACATGTGAAAAAATGGGTACACATATATTTTGGGGTGTTAAATAATTGCGTAATGCCAATAAACAGTAAAACGTGACTCAACTTAAATTTGTAAGACAACTTGCTGCACAGCTTTTTTTTTGAGTTGTCTCACATTTTAACCCAAGTACTCCAGTTTCACTCGATTAAAGTCTTCTATTGAGCTCTGCAACAAGTTGCCCTGCAACCTTAAGTTGTCAACTTTTTTTACAGTGAAAACTGACTACCACAAAAATAGTCAGTCATATTGCATGTTTAACATGTATTGTTCAAAATGACAAGTTGTACCTCTTTACAATGGGGAAAAACACCAAACAATCGAGAATACATGTGAATTTGGTGTCATGGTTTTGCAATAAAAAAATGTCAAAATAATGGAAATCAATGGGGCAAAACCACCACAAACATAACAAAACGGTAGGAGGATAGCGATGCAAGAATACAAGAACAATACATGAGTGTAGTGTTGAGTTTTTGAAAAATTTCAAATATTTTTCTCAAAATATGTGTCAAAATAAGATTTGTCACCAAAACTCTTTCCATGTGCAGAAACACCAAGAAACTTTTAGCCAATTTAAGACTAAGAATCAAAATCACACTGAAAACATCCCTAACAGTACACAGGGGTCAATGTAACATTCCTTTTATACAAAAATGTATACTAAAACCTACAAATGCTTATGCAGAAAGGTCATCCATAAAAATTGGTCTAACTTTACACTCTATAGTAATTCCTGAAAGCTGTTTTTTAACACCAAAACTTTTTCTCCCTGACACAAACACAAATATATCACAGTAGTATTTAAACCATTATTTTTGTTACACATGACAACCACTTAATCTGTTTGACACATGCAAATTCTTAATCGGTTCTTAACAAGAAATAAATATTAAAGCCGTGTCTTCCTGTGTCATCAGGGTCAGTACTGTGACATCTGCTCTTCGCAAGACACGAACAGAGCACATCCCATCAGCAACGCCATCGATGGCACCGAACGCTGGTGGCAAAGCCCTCCTCTCTCCCGCAGTGCCAAACACAACCAGGTCAACGTCACCCTGGACCTGGGACAGGTAAGTTACCGGCACATTCCTAACATTTGTCTAACTCCAGTCACACCCACATGCACATATCGTGTTCAGATTATTCAGCGTACAGTAGAGTCACCTGATCCTCGACTTCAGCGGGCGCTTTTGTGGATTGCACATGAGTGTAGAATTTCAAGGGTGGACCCTAAGTTGAATCTCACCCATTCATACTTGAGTTTAGAGTATCCGGAGGTCTTTTTTTAATATCTTTTTTATATGTTGTGTATCGATGATTGTTGTTATTATAGAAGAGTAGCCAGGGGGCATATACTTTCTAAAGACTATTACTTTCTAAACTGTAATGGGAAATAAACATTACTCAGACTCTCCCACACTTAATCTCCTCCTGAAGTCCTCCAGGAATCCCAGTGGCTTCTACATAAGCATTCAGCGGTACTTCATATTGCTTCATGCTGCACAAATAGGAGTGGGAGGAAGAGAAGTAGCTTACCATCAACAGAAGTTTCTCATTGACCTTTATTCACTGTCAGTCGCTTCAGACAGAGTGAAGTTAAAATGCTCAAAAAGTGATCAGTCTACACTAAAACATGCTGGGTTATCCACATGATCAATCTGTGTTAGGAATATATGAAGCAACTAAGTTAACATTTATAACAGATTTAAGTGGAGTGAACATAAAACAATTCAAGAATGGTGTTGTTTCAGCTCATTTCATTCAGCTCAGAAATAAGTAGTTTGAACAAATAGCAAATGTTGTAAAATGTACAGAGAATTGTAATGTAATGCTTGATTCACATTTTAATTAATGAATATTTTAAAATCTGCACACAATGACATATGTTGCACTTGTGATTTTCATTTATTGTCTATGTAATGTTTGTTTATTACGTACTATATTAGTTCTTTCAGCTATCAATGTACTCTCAGCTGCATTGGATATTTATTAAATCCATTTTACACACCCAAATTATAAAAATTAGTATAGAACTTAGAGAAACATCTGTAAATTTGTATAGTATTATATCAATGTGACCCTGGACCACAAATTAGTGATAAGAGTCAGATGAAATCATCTGAAATGTGAATAAATAAACTGCACTGATGTAGGGTTTGTTAGCATTGGACAATATTTGGCTGAGATAAAACAATTTGAAACACTGCAATCTGAGGGTTCAGTAAAGTCTAACTATTAAAGAAAATCAGCGTACAAATGTATTTACAATGTATATGTATACAATGGGCGAGGCAGTGGCGCAGTAGGTAGTGCTGTCACCTCGCAGCAAGAAGGTCACTGGGTCGCTGGATAGAACCTCGGCTCAGTTGGCGTTTCTGTGTGGAGTTTGCATGTTCTCCCTGCCTTCGCGTAGGTTTCCTCCGGGTGCTCTGGTTTCCCCCACAGTCCAAAGACATGCGGTACAGGTGAATTGGGTAGGCTAAATTGTCCGTAGTGTATGAGTGTGTGTGTGAATGTGTGTGTGGATGTTTCCCAGAGATGGGTTGCGGCTGGAAGGGCATCCGCTATGTAGAAACTTGCTGGATGAGTTGGCAGTTCATTCCGCTGTGGCGACCCTGGATTAATAAAGGGACTAAGCCAACAAGAAAATGAATTAATGAGAATGAATGAATGACTAACAGAAAATATGTTGGGACTGTTGTTTTTGCTTACATCCTTCAAAATTTTCTATATAGTCATTACATTTAAAAAAAATAATAATAAATTACAAAGCACATTGACCAATCATAATAAAGCAGACTATTGGTCAGTCACAATGAAGAATTCTAGAGGGTAATTTATGTTTTATTCATTACCATTTAAGAGGTTTGTGTTGGCAAGGTACTTTACATTTTATGAAACTGTCAAATGCAAGGCTGTATTGCATCTAAAATGTATATAAAACTGCAATATTGTAAATATTAGCATGTAAAACCTTTTTTTTTATTCTAAAATGTATTTTAACCCTATGATGGAAAGTAGAAGTTTCAGCATTATCTCCCCAGCCTAGAGCGTCACATGAAGTCATTCCAGTATGTTGATTTACTGCTGGAGAAAGCATTTGTATTGTCATTAATAATAACAAAAAAATAAATGAATAAAAGAAAAACTCTGGTGGTTCATTCCGCTGTGGCGACCCCGGATTAAAAAAGGGACTAAGCCGAAAAAAAAATGAATAAATGAATGAATAATAACTCTAGCATGATTGATAGGTTAGTGCAGCTTGCTTAAATAAGGGTGATTGCTGCCACCTTAGACCTTGATACACACTTAGTAGACCAAGACGACCAATATAAAAAGCAAAAGCTATTTTTAATTTTTATTCGTAAGATTAGCTAAGATTGTGAATTCTGGGAAATCATGTTATTTTCTGCTTCAAACCAAGTGACCCAAATAATTAACATGACTTTTGAAGAGAAGTAAAATAGTAAACATCTGAAGTGGATCATCACATTTCATCAAAGCTGTCCTAAAACTACTGAACAACACTCAATCTCGTCTTTGGACAATTTTGAAAAACATATTCCATCCACTTCAATTGTGAACTATTGTGTATATAGTATATAATTAGCTTGGTTTTATTGCAGTATATGTGTAGTGCACTGTGTAGTGCTGGTCTCATTCAGCTAAACATTGCTGTAATATGTGACAGACTAAGCCCTGTACAACCTACTTTGCTTTCTCTGGTTCTCCCTCCCCCTCTCTCAGTCTGAATAGAAACAGAGGGCAGTGACTGGCTTTGTATTGTGCTCAGTTCTTTTATCTGCCTGGTGTTTTTGTCAGGACCACTTAAAATAGCTTGTAAAAATGCTATACCTAAAACTAATACAAGCGATACAAGAAAATGATCTTTATGCCTCTAGCTAGGGTTCAAATAAGTTATTGAAAGGCCTTAAATTTGTGTGAAATCAAAATTTACAATGTTTATTTTTTCAGCTCATATTGTTATTCTTTACGTAAGGAATTAATCTGTGCAAGTTTATCCACCATTAAGAGTTTGTATTGGTAATCTTCAATCAAACACAGTTTATTTGCTTCTACGTTTAGAGTGGCAGTTCTTCTGATGATGTCATTTTGACGAATTTAGCCACTGAACCTCAACGCTCTTACCGTTAGTTTGCTATCAGGGAATGATTTGCAAAAAGAAAGCCCCTTGCTTAACATTCAGTTTCAGTTGGAAGAACATCAAAATACTTAAATAAAAGTCTCTGCAACTTCTGGTTTGTGCAGACTTTAGTCAATTATAATAAGTGATAAGTTTAAATCAGAAGTAATGTGAATATCCAAACTGATCTGACAAGGAAACGTGAGTATTTTATGTTTTGTCAGTTGAATTTATTATTGCATTATTAATTGTTTTAGTTTTCCTAGTGATGGGTTGCAGCTGGAAGGGCATCCGCTGCTTAGAAACGTGCTGGATAAGTTGGCGGTTCATTACACTCTGACGACCCCAGATTAATAAAGGGACTAAGCCGAAAAGAAAATGAATGAATGAATAATTGTTTTTTTAAATTCTTATCCCCCAAAACATTTCCTCTGATTTCTCAGGAATTGCATTCGGCTGTTTCTAGTAATTCTCTAACAACAGTGCAAGTGTTAATAGTAACAAATTGTAGGTTTGGTTTCAATATGTCAATATGTTTTATCAGTTTAATGGCTAATTCGTTTGAGTTCAGTTGTATGTAAATGAGGGATTTTTAAAAGGAGGCATGGCACCTAACCCCATCCCTAAACAATTGCTGTGAAATTGTGTTGGGAGTATCACATTTTTTCCTATCAATCAGTATGCATTGCGGCCTCATTCATGTCACTAACAGTAGCAGTGCAGAATGAGGATGGATGACACTATAAAAAGTTGAAGATGGTTTGTTTAAAGATTAAGCAGGAGCTCAAATTAGTGACGCAGCTTTAGAGACTTCCTCTAACACGGGTAAGAGGCTCATTCTGACCCCTCAGAGCAGATGAATTAGATTGGAATGTTAGTTACTCGCTATCTGTCTCAACCTGCTTCAGGACACAACGACCCCTCTCTGTCACTACAGTGTCTATCAGCAAAGTTTAAGTCTCTCTCCTCTTTCGCACTCTTTTATTGGGTTTTTGAGTAAGTGCAGACATCTCAGGAGGGCTATGCAGATTTTCACTCCTTTCCCACTGATCATTTATATAAATAAGTTGTTTTTTTTGTATATATTTTTGTGTGCAATATTTTATAATTATTAGAATCATTAGATCTTTGTTTTGTTTTAATCCAGAGAAGATAACAATATTTATTTTTTTCTGACTCCACTATATATGTTTGTATAAATTATTTTAGCATTTGCTTTGTTTGTTTTTTTGTGTTGTTTTGTCATTCTTTTTATTCAGAGAAGATAAAACATTTATTTCCTCTAACTCCACTGTGTTTGTATAAATTATTATACTATACTATAATTATTGTTTAAATTATTCTATAATTATAAAGCCATTTTTATCTTTTGTTTTTTGTTTTGTTTTGTTTTTTCATTCTTTTTATCCAGAGAAAATAAATAAACAAAAAATTCTTCTAACACCACAATATTTTTGAAAAAAGTATTTTTAATTTTTTTATTTAATTATTTTAGAATTAATAGGCAATTCTTATCTTTTTTTTATTAGTTTTGTTTTGTTATTTTTTTCCTCTGACTCCATAGCAATTGCTTTTGGCTGTTAGACGTAATTCCCAAAGAACTGTGCAGGAGCTAATTTTGGGTTTGGTGTTAGTTTGGTCAATGCTTTTTGTTTTTTTTATGCGAGTGCCCAATCAATCATTTATAAATGAATAATTTAATTAAAAGTTTTAATTAAAATATATTTATGGTATTTGTATATATTGTTGTAATTATTTTCAGAATTAGATTATTTAATCTTTTATTTTGTTAGTTAAACTATGTATCAATTGCATTATTACTTTAGGGGGGACACAGAGGCTCAGTGGTTAACACTGTTGACTCACAGCAAGAAGGTCGTTGGTTTGAGTCCCGGCTGGGCCAATTGGCATTTCTGTGTGGAGTTT